ATACAATACTTCTCACCCGTGTCCTTCGCAGCGAGGGATGCCACTTTGCCGAAGCATGCCTGTCCTGATCTTCCTCAGCACGCTTTCTGAGTCAGTTATAATCACGATGTGTGTGTGTGTGTCGTGTTCTCTAACCAGCGGAAAGCTGCAGTGACCGCCTCCACCTCCATTTTAAGCTGGATGGTGTGGTATCATATGCTAGGCTCTCCTGCACCAAACGTCGACCTTTAACTTTTGCTAAGAAACCCCAAGCACTTCTTTTGCCTCTTGACACTGAACCGTCTGTGTAAATGATCAAATCTTCTGAACGAGCATTATCTTGAATTAATTGCTTAATTTCCCCCTCTGTGGCACCTGCTAGCGAGTCTTTGCATTCCCGGCTCAGTGTGATTATGACCCTACACAAGTCTGACTGTTCAGATGGGACTTTGACCCACTTCTCTCCTCGCCTAATGTTCTCAAGGATGCAAACCTGTCGGCATATTCTGGAGAAAATATTCAAAGGATGCTAACTACCCAGGACCTCTGAAGTGAGCATTTGTTGAATTAGTAACGCAACAGTACATTCAAACACGTCCGACTGTAATGTCATGTGTAATATACGGTGAATATATACGTAAGATATTTGATTGGTCTTTTTTATTGTGTTGTACGTAATTTGTACACACACAATTCGACCGGGAACACTTGCAGAAATCAAATGAATTTTTTTTTTAACAAACAGACATGTGTTGACTTACCCTCATGTATCTCTGTTTCTTTTTATGATCAACACCCGTATATCTGTTTATTAAATCGCTTTACTAGTCTATAAGTGTTTATCTGTAATCTAGTCTTTCTGCATCCAGGTCATGCCGGTGTGTTGGGAAATGAGCAGGCAGATCGACAAGCTGGCTCTGCACTACTTAGTAGTGAATTGATGTATGACAAGTGAGATATTCTGAGGGCCCTTTAGGGGCGAGTAAACAGTGCAGAGGCGCAAATAGATTAATACTGTCTAAGGAGGATGGCACTGTCAGTAGTTACCAGGGGATCTGCCCGACGCTCAACACTCAGGAGAAGGATGAGACAAATATACAATCAGACAGTTACTGGTACCATCGGAATTGGAACTCTTCGCTTGCTGCTGGAAATGGGGACTGCACACTTATGGGAGAGTCCCGAGTGCTGTGATGTCGATTTTTGATTCAACATTCAATCCGCATCTAACCTGATTAAAAGGGCTTTAGAGGAATATTGTCAATCTCTTGCTGTGCCATTGTGTGCCATACAAGGCTGGCATTCTAGTCTTCCATTCTCTCTGTCCTGTGCAGTTCTTTTGATATCATGTATGGAAGCCAGTCCAGCAGCTTTGCCCTCTTTCTGTGACGTTCGTCTCGGGATCTTTATTGGATGTACTCATTTTAGCAAACCATTTGTTTCCATATCGGTGACTGTTCAGTGCTTGTTTGTCCACACCACAGCCTCACCAGCTTTTTATCTGATTTCTTCGATGTTCTATAATTCATCCCATTTAATGTTCATTATTTCCTTTAGCATTTGTCTTTAAATCTACGCTGTGTTATTTTGTCTTTCGTCTTTTAGATGGAGTTGTTAGGTGAATAATTACTTATCCTTTTTAGTATCATGTCTTTTGTACACAGGTGAAGATGAGCAAGCTGTATTTTATCGTTCATTTTCGGCTCTAGAGTGTAGAGCTACAGATTGTTTGTAGTATTTTTCTTCTAGAGTGGTGTCCTCTATCTCTCTCTCTCTCTCTCTCTCTCTCTCTCTCTCTCTCTCTCTCTCTCTCTCTCTCTCTCTCTCCTCACTTCTCTCTATTCTCATTTCTAACTTCTCTCTCTTTCTCACTTCTCCCTCCCCTCTCATCCCCCTCCCCACCCCCACCCAACCACCCCCGCGAATTTCTGACCCTTTGGCAATGGGGTTTGTTCATTTTCTCTCTCTCTCTTTCTCCCTCTCTCTCTCTCTTTCTCTCTCTCTCTCTCTCTCTCTCTCTCTCTTTCTCTCTTCTCTCTCTCTCTCTCTCTCTCCCTCTCTCTCTCTCTCTCTCTCTCTCTCTCTCTCTCTCCAAAGCTGGAACTGTTGTTTCTCTACGTCTCAACCTACTCTATCCCTCATATCTGTTTACAAGATTAATTAGGTATGTATGTTGATCAAATGCAAACAATTAACAAACTGTGTTTAATTTTTGGCATATTCAGATACCACCATAACAACTCCGTTAACATTTCACTTATTGTGGTATGTTATTTTTATCAATCACTAGCTGTACTCGGCCACGCGTTGCTGTGGCATAGTTTGGCTAAATGGAAATAACAGAAAATAGAAATCGCACGTGTCTAATTCAATCATTGTCTGCTCAGATATAGAGATACTCTTTGATCCCCGCCCCCCCCCACCACCACCACAACTAAATTCACCTACTACTCTCTCCCTTATCAAAGGCTTTTTGGAAAAGAAAGACAATGGAAATCGCACGTGTCTAATTTAGTTAATGTCGCAATCATTTTCTGCACAGATATAGAGATAGTCTGGTTTTCCAACTTTAGAACACGCACCTTATAATTGTGTCTTTATATTAGTGGTCGTTTAAATGGTGTTATTAGCACAGTAACAAAAATGATTATTTGGTTATCACATGCTAAAGCTGTTTGTATTTTTATAGGGGACGGAAGTAAAGCTACAACTGTACTTGTGAATAACAAAGTAAGTCGTAAAAAATAGAGAAGCGGAGGTAGCGTTAGTAAAATATAAACAAATTAGGTAATGAGAACTTGAAAATCACTTGTAAATCTCTTTAAGTTCTCTTAAATTTAAGTCATTACCCCCCTCCCCTCCTCTCTTCCACCGACTACTAATCTCTCCCTCTTCGAAGGATGTGAAAATCATTACCTGGCGATATTTTTTGTTGCTGTAACTGACATTGACATCCCTGTCCATCCGGACTAAATGGGGAGCAGGAATTGTAATAGGTAGTGAATGGGGCTAGTGTAATATTTACCACATTATCCTTCAAGTACCAGTACAACTACTACCACGACCACCACCACAGTAGCTAAAATAATGTCACTGCTATCTGTGTTACCATCAGAGTAGACAAAGAGTCGTGAGCCAGAAGATTTGGTTCCGCATGGCTAGTGCTGTCGCCACAGACTGGTCAGGTTAGGATGTATAATTTCACTTCCCGACAGAAGAACGCCATAACCTTACCGGCGGTCTTCACGTGAGAGCACTATGGTGTAACAGCCCAAACACAACTATTACTGCTGCTGCTGCTACTTTAGGTGGGTAAAGCAGTTACTGTGACTTAAAGCTCTCTCAGTTAATAGTTTGCCCCCCCCCCCCCCCCCCCTAAATTCACCTACAACTCTTTCCCTCATTGAAGTAGTTGGGAGGGGGAAAAAAACCTTGTAAAGCAAATGAACACAGGAAAAAAACACCATAATTAGGAAATGAACGCTATGGTAAACAGCACAGCTTAAAATTCCAACGCAGATGAAATAACTAAATCTGAATGAAAATAAATGGAAAGCTATGAAATTTCAGCGTACCCATGCAATCGGAAAGTTTAAAAATGCAATCATAAGTATGCGAAATTGTCAAATTTAATTATCAAATGGTTTACCCATTTAATTGACTTTTTTTTTTTTTTTTTTTTTTTTTTTTTTTTTTTTTTTTAAGTATTAAGGGCAACATGGCTAGTGCTGTCACCACGACAGAGCAGATGAGGATATTATTTTAGTCCGGGGTAAAAAAAATTTTTTACTACTGCGGATTTGAACCCTGGTCTCCCGCACGGGAACCCAGTGTTCTAACCATTCGACCAAGCAGCAACCTAATCGGAGCACCGAAAAGAGAACTAAACTATTAGAGATATGTATCCCTACTACTGTGTCCTGATTATAACACAACTCAAAACCGCAGGCAATTGTTTTCTCGTAGACAGATACTCCAGATATATTAATGAAACGGCACAACAATAGAAATCGCACGTGTCTAACACGGTTAATGAAGTTAATGTCGCAGTCAATGTCTGCTCCGACGTCGAGATAGTCCCTTGCCCCCCCCCCCCCCCCCCCCCCCCCCCCCCCCCCCCATAGAAGGTTGTTTGAAAAAAAAACACAGAAAATAGAAATCGTGTTTAATATGGTTATTGTGGCAAATATAAAGATAGTCTTGTTTGCTGTACCACGACCTACTCTATGTATTAGAGAAGGCGTTGGCTGCACGTAACTCGCCGGCGAATAGTGGAAGCCTTGCGTTCTGACTACGGCGCGTGCGAAATTACTAACGTGGCTATGATTAGAAATCACTAAATTTATAAATATTAGTTTCGAATATTATGGCATAAATTGTCGCAAACTATCTCTAACAATGACAGGTTGAATTTCAAACCATGATGGTTCAACATCCGGTATCAAAACAAACATATCCTGAAAATTTCAGCTAAATCGGTTCAGTAGGTTTCCGAGTCTATAAGGGATAAACAAACACACAAACATTGTTTTTTATATATAAATATAGATAAACAAATTCATGGAATGTGACTAATATTAAAATGTCTCATTTTAACACTTCAAGATAACGCAACGAACAACTTCATATTTGACTAATTCTCAGTGTCATATTAACACTTTAAGATAACACAATGAACAACATCATATTTGACTAATTTAATTGTCATTTTAACCATTTCAGATAACACCATGAACAACTTCATATGTGACTAATTTAATTGTCATATTAACACTTTAAGATAACACAACGAACAACTTCATATTTGACTAATTTAATTGTCATATTAACACTTTAAGGTAACACAATGAACAACATCATATTTGACTAATTTAATTGTTCATTTTAACCATTTCAGATAACACCATGAACAACTTCATATGTGACTAATTTAATTGTCAGTTTACCACTTAATGATAACACAATGAACAACTTCCTATTTGACTAATTTAATTGTCATTTTAACCATTTCAGATAACACCATGAACAACTCCACGACAAGCGTATTCCAGAGATACCAGAGTAGAGCGGAATTGTTGCAAGAGTTTGCCCCAGCTGGACCTGCTATTGAGCGAATAATATGCCCAATATGGTACACCATTGGCTTTATCGGAAACCCCATTTCGGCATTCGTTTGGCTGGGACAACGCATGCGACGGAATAACTCTTCAGCCGTTTACTTGGGAGCTCTGTCTCTCTCAGACTTGTTATTTATCTTCCTCCACCTTCTGTTTTTCTTGCATACGTCATGGGGTTTAGATATCTACAACGATTACGTCAGTTGTGAAATTTTCCACTTTTTATACTATGTACCCCAGTATTTGTCCACCTTTCTAGTGCTGGGATTCACGGCGGAACGCTACGTGGCAGTGTGTCACCCCTTCTTCAAAGAAAAACTGTGTACGGTACAACGAGCCTTTATCATCGTGCTATGCCTTACTTTCTTCTCCATCCTGTTATCGTCAGTTCAGATCTATATTTGGACATACAGTGATGCTGAAGGGACATGTAACATACGACCCGAAGCAGGGGCAAACGATGACACAAGTTTCTGGAATATTTGGGGTTGGGTAACAGACATCCTGGCGTTTGTTCTAGTGCCCCTTATCGTTCTTGTCATCAACGTTTTGGTGCTGAGAGAAATATTCAGAATTTCAAAGAATGACGTTATGAGACGACAGAACAGTCGAAGCGGTAACAACGCAGCGTCAACGGTGACGCTTCTGGCGGTGTCATTTTATCTAATCGTCACACAAATCAGCGCCACTGTCGTGGCCTGTCTTCAGCAAGCTTTTCCTACCGGTGATATATTTATGACAGATGACGAAATTCGAAACGACAAAACCTGGTCGAACGTGTTCACCTATATGGAAGTTCGTAGGATAATAGAAGTGGTCTGCTTGTCTCACTACGCCTGTTATTTTCTCATTTACTGTTTGACTGGAAAACATTTTAGAAAACAGGCTATTTACCTTATCACATTTCGAGGACGGGTTTCCTGTCTCTCTAGCCTGGTCTCGAAGAAACACAGGAAGGAACAATACTCCATGGTATCCACGAACAACGGACACAACTCAGAGACTTGCGTGACGTCGTTCTCCACCACAATCTGATGGTTACTGTTATCGATATATGTTCAGATGTGTGACTTTAAAGGTCATTTTAGGATTGTGATAAGACAGTAGCGAATTTTATATATTCGAGCTGTATATATACATAACAAACATATATTAGTAGGTAAGGTAAGTGTACCCCACCAGGACATCACACAAGCTATAAACACCCGGTGACAAAAAAGTGCCACCATGCGAATGAGGATCACCCGTGTAGAGGTCCCGGAAACCCCATTCAGCCATTGGGCCATATTTCAGGCCCCGTTATATTTAGGGCCCCCGGCAAAAGCCAGAATGGGGAGGGGGGGGGGGGGGTGTTCGAATAATAAAAAACTGCCTCCCACAAAAAAAACGACTATATGGAATGACTAACACACATTTATATATGCATACACACACACATCTCTAATATAAATCAGAAAACTTTTCTGTGTTTCGTATGTTCATTATAAGTGAACTGTTATGTTCATTCCTCCCAGACCGTGATCAATACATGGGTTACATTTTCATTTGCTAATATGACTACAATGTTTAATTTAACGGTGACACTGTAAATCAAAAGCTGCATTTCAGAAAATGAAAAATTTGCAATAAATCGGGTCCAGAAAGCAGCCCAGCAGTCGCAGCAGGGCCATTGGATCAGCCTGGAGAGCGAATACTCACATGGGGTGAGATCTGGAGGATGACCCCGCTGCGACTGAGCTTTATCGTTCGTTCGGCGTACGATGTATTACCGTCCGGTGTTAACATGGTTAAATGGTCTGCGACCAACGATCCGACTTGCCCGCTGTGTAAATCGAAGCAAACTCTTAAGCACGTCCTGTCCGCGTGCAGGAAAGCCCTAGGCCAAGGCCGATACACATGGCGACACAACAAGGTGCTAAAAGAGTTAGCAGCCGTTGTCGACCAGGCTAGAATGAGGGCTAACGCCAGAGCCAGTTCTAGCATCGTCCCCATTCGTTTCCTCAAGGCTGGGCAGGTTCCAAAAGGTAAGGTCAACCAAAACGCATTCGCTCCATCTGTGCTAGACTCTGCGAGGGACTGGTTACTGGCGGTTGATCTGCCAGGCCATAAACGGTACCCCGAGTTGATCCGGAAAACCGGCCTGCGACCGGACATCGTTCTCCATTCTGCGCAAAAACGGCAGCTCATCCTGATTGAGTTGACTGTCCCGTTTGAGTCGCGTATATAGGAGAATCATTTGTACAAGCTCGAGAAGTACAGTGATTTAGCGGCCGGTTTGAGGAGAAACGAGGCTTACACAGTACGGGTATTTGCCGTCGAAGTGGGAGCGAGAGGCCTCGTTTCCACTTCGCTCTACAATGTGGTGTAAGAACTAGGATTGCGCGTTAATGAACGGAAACGAAAACTCAAAAAAACTGGGAGAGGCAGCCGAAAGGGCCTCTAGCTGGTTTTGGACGCAGCGCAACAACGTAGGGGACGGGCCTCGGTGAGCTGGTCCGGGTGTCTAGTGGAAAAGGGTTTCTCACCCCTTTGAAAGTCCATCGTGTCCGAATTGTCTGCCAGTGTTCCTCTGCCAACTGCTAATAAAAGTCCAACATGTGTCCGGTAAACCAAAGTAAGCTTGTCGCTCGGTCGTCCAGGCATGCTGACTGCTTTAATTAGGCTGCCGTGGCGACTTCTTATCTCACAGTACCTCCTGCGAAACCACCAAGTCGTCTTGTCTCTGGCCGAAAGAATAACACCATCCGGTAATTCCGTACAGCGGGGAGCCAGCACTGAGCGTCATGAACTCAGGAGGGCCCACCTCCGAATGCGTCTAGAAATCGTGGGCCGAAACGCGTGTCGACGAGGATAATTTCTACTGACGACTGGTAGATCCCTGCTGTACTTGCTTCCTGTGAGTTTATTCCTATTTTTGGTTTTCGGAACTGGAGGTAATGATTAACAGGGACAAACGGGAGCATTCGTATTGCGGCGTTAGAGGTGAAATTCTTGGATCGCCGCAAGGCGAGCTACTGCGAAAGCATTTGTCAAGAATGTTTCATTAATCAAGAACTCGGAGTTTGGCGACCCCCAGAAGTGATGTGTCCTTGTGGCTCTAATCAGCCCGCCCCCAAACGCTTTGGTGAAAAAGGTTATCAAAACTCACTAGGAACATGAGTATGCTTGCCAACCGTACAGCTAAAAATCACAACCCTTGGTTAAAAGAATGCGGAGTGAAGAGAACATTGTTCACTGTACATCCTCTGTTAACCCTCAGTGTCGTCGTCACCTCGCTGAGGTACACCACAACAGCAACCATCCATATGCTGGCCATCCATGTACATCCTCAGTTAACCCTTAGTGTCGTCGTCACCGCGCTGAGGTACACCACAACAGCAACCATCCAGAGGCTGGCCATCCATGTACATCCTCGTGTAACCCTCAGTGTCGTCGTCACCGCGCTGAGGTACACCGCAACAGCAACAGCCCATTGGCTGGCTAAGCCCAAATGTCCGACAAAACTAGATCCCACGGCACACGAGTAAGCTCAAAATCTGACCACCACAATTTGTATTGAACGGAAAAAGACCAAATGTCCACACCCAAAGACCCCACTCGCACGAGTGTTGGGACCAAACTGATAACGATATGCCTCATGCAGGATATACAATTCTGTCGGGCTAACGGCTCGTCAAAGAATTCTAAAATGCGAAGGAAAAAAGAATGTACCTATTCGTGTGGTCACAAAAGTCCAAAACCCACGGGCTGCTCCCCGCTGACTTCCAGAGGGCACAGCTCTTGTCGAGCGGGAAGCCTAATACGGTTGTGAGGTTAAGCAGGCATGTGCAGGACGTGACGATTCCTTGGGTGAGCCCAGAACCAGAGCGCCATGTGCCGGCTCTGCATACATGTGTGGCACAGTCGTGCCTATACATCCCCCAAGAAATAGATGTGCCTAGTTCGGCCAAGTTGAATGAATACAGTTCGTAGCTCTCTTCAATCGTATTTAAGAACAAGGCCAGTGATGTAACAATTACACAAGAGCTGGTTTATTCACAATATTCTCGTCACACAGACTTCATAAATTCAATAAGCAATAGTATATGAACACTTCGTTATCTAGTAACTGTCTATTCTTATGTCTCTCTACGAGTTGCTCAATCACTGTTCTAGCTAAACTCCAAGTTTAACATATCCTTTTAAACGAAGTATAGCACTAGTTTTCTTCTAACCGGTTTCTCTAGCGGTCCAGCCCTAACTGTCCTCTCAAGCGGTTCCGGGGCTAACTGACTTCTCAAGCCCCTGGCTCTGACTTTATTCTCCCGCTTTCCCGCTCTTTCTGGCGTACCTTCTCCATCACTCCCCTGTCACCTGTCTTTGGTGGTCACGTTTGGATGATCGTATCTCTTCAGCTGGTCACAGTGCATGTGCTTGCTCAAGGGCACTCGTCGAATGTTTCATTCCTCACTGTCAGATGTCCTGGCGGTTATCGTGTAGATGTTCTGCATAGCTGGCTAGGCCATGGCTTTCTAATCACCCATTTCTGTCATTTCACACAGTGATGGATTAGTACGCCGTGTGATGGTCTGAAATGTATGCTTTGTTCATTTAACCCCTTTCTGCCTATATTTCATTACACATGGAAGCCTCCTTGGATGGCGGGGAATGCCCATGATCTGCCCCTGCCTTCTCTTGAGGGTAAACCGTTCCACAGGGGGCTGCCCCAAAGGGGTACTCCGGGGGCAATACCTGCGGAGAAGGAGACCTAAAAATAGGCTTGACGTCTTCCTTCGAAGTCGGAGTACAGCTGCCCATGAAGCAGGGAACATTAAAACGGTTGTACACGCAAAAATCAGGTCCGGGTGATAGCCAAAAGTCCAAGCGGACGATTAACCGTGACCTTCCGCCGAAATTCACAGCCGGTGAACAATTAAAAAAAATATTTAAAAAAAAAAATATATATATATATATATATAGAGAGAGAGAGAGAGACACCCCGATTGTGGGCATGCGATACATCCTTGCTTTACCGACTATTGCAGGTAGGTTAAAGGTGCTGCATGCTAAGTCATACCTCAGAGTAGCTGCAGACAGGGAACACCCTCGATATGAAGCTTTGGCTGCAGGCAAGGGTCAGAGGCTGAAAAGGGGAAAATCGTGGATGGCTAAAGCAGAAGACACAAAAAGACAAGTATGCATGCTGGAGAATATTGGGCAAGGAGAGGAGTGGGTCAGAGTACCAGCGGAAAAGCCTGACCTGAGTAGGGTTATGATCACACTGGGCCGGGTGTGCAGAGAGTGGCCAGCGGGTGCTACGGAGGTTGAAGTCCAACAGTTGATTCACGACAGTTCACACCCAGGTGATCTAATTATCTATACAGATGGTTCGGTATTGTGACGAAAGAAAAGTGCATGGGTGCTCGCAGCGAAAACCAATGAAACATCTTTCGTGCAAGACAGCCTAGCATATGATACTACAACATCTAGCATGAGGATGGAGGTGAAGGCTGTAACTGCAGCTTTCCGGTGGCTAGAGAACAAGATGCATACACATGACGTAATTGTAACAGACTCTGAAAGCATGCTGAAAAAGGTGATGACAGGGATGCTTCGAACAGAGTGGCAAGCCTCACTGGAAAGGTCACGGGCAGTGAGCATACTTTAGATATTTTTTCCAAGAAATGCCGGCGTGGTGGGTAATGAACAGTCAGACAGATTGGCTGAATCTGCACCACTGGGTGGTGAATTTATACATGACAAAGCAGATGTGGTCAAGGCCCTTTGGGAACAAGAAACGGAATCAGTAGAGAAAGAAGATTATTTTGGCCTGTTGAGAATGAGGTACCTGGGTGTAACCAAAGGGCTGGCTGGCTGTATGCACTCAGAGAAAAGGCAAGACGGACATCAGTATTGGAACTCTGCGCTGGCTGCTGAAGATGAGGACGCACATACTTTGTGGTCACGTGTTAACGTCTCAGTGAGAAAATATATGTTAGAGTAGACATGTCAAACTAGCGGCCTGCTGGCCACATGCAGCCCTTTGCAAACACACC